GCCGCGGGGAAGGGAAGGAAGCGCCGTGCGTGGCTGCCCCTGCCTGCCTGCCGTCGGGAGGGGAGGACCCAGTCGCACGGAGTTCCGCCGGCCTCGCTCCCCGCGGAGGGAAATCGGGGCGAGGGAGGGACCGGCTCCCGAGGAGGAAGTGCGGCGCTGGGTCGGACGCAGCCGGGGTAGGCAGTTAAGTGGGGCCAAGTCCGAGTCCGGCGGCCCCTTTAAGACCGATGAAGTTTCCCGCAGGGCGTTCCTGCCGTTTCGGGGGAGCTGGAGAAGTGGAGGAGGAGGCGGCAGCGAGGCCGGTCTCTGCCCGCCAGGTAGTTTGCCAGCCGGCCGGCAGGCCGACTCCCAAAAGAAGGAGGCGGCGGCAAGGCCGGCGCAGGAGACGCTGTTGCACTTTGGGGGGGGGATTTAAACATCCCCCCGAAAGTTTTCCGAAAGTTTTTTTAACTTTTTTTATTTTTGTGCACATATGGGGACTGCCCCACGTGTGCACAAACCTCCCCCTGCCCCCCAAGTGCCCCCAAAGTGCAGTTATAGATATCCGCACGGAGGGGGCAACTTGGGTATTAGTATAAGGATTCTCGGTACCTAGATACCTCATTCTAGATACCAAACTAGAACACTGAATTCAGGGGTCATTTTGTAGAAAAAGAGGTGCAGGAGCTCATTAGCATAACTCACTAGCATAACTTGTTTGCATATGCCACACCCACTGACATCACTGGAAGTGTGTCATAAGGAAACACCCACCACTCAGGCTCCACTGGATTGTTTTGGATTGCTAGGTATGGGGGGGGGGGGAACGATGTGCAGATCTGTCCTCACAGAGGAGGGAGAGTTTGTACCTGAATAAAACTTGGTCTTAAAGGAACCACTGGAGTGTTTTGGATTGCTAGCTATGGGGGGGGGGAACGCACAGATCTGCCCTCAGAACTTGTACCTGAAAGTGGGGGGGAGGCTCTGCAACTTACCTGGCTGCTTCTTGCTCCTCGTGGCCCG